CGAGGCGCGTGAGCTGCGCGAGGTAGACCGAGAGGATAGGGGGAGGCACTCACTGGGGCCGTAGGGTTCGGGCAGCGTGCGCGGGGTGGTCCGGCGAGGAGGAGATGAGGAGGAGGACGGTGAGGCGGCGACGAGGTCCGGCGAAGGCGCTCTGGGACGTCGGCGTCGGAGAGGTGGGTCGACTCGCCGGGAGCGGCCGCGGCAAGGTTCGGTGCGCGCCGGCGGGACCCTGCCGGCATGGTCCAACGAAGAGGGGCTCGACGAGGGGCGCCAGCCTGGTGGCGAAGACGGGAGGCGCCGGCCGAGGTGGGCAGCGGGGCGCTGCCTCAGCGGAGCGGTGGCGAGGGGGCGCCGTTGCGCCCCGATCCGGATCGGGAGGGAGCAAGAGGAGCGAGGTGTGAGGGGAGAGTGGGAGATCGATCCCGATCCAGGGGAATCAGGGGAGGGAGTGGAGCGCGTGGGGAGTGGGGGTTGGAGAGCGGTTAGGGTTTCGGGAGGGGAATAAGGGGAGTGGGGGTGGCTGGTTGGGCCAGTGGGTCGGCCTGGTTGGCCTGATTGCTAGCTGGGCCGAGGCCTGGTGGGGAGGGGTCTTTTTTTGCTTTGTTTAATTTCTTTTCTGTTTTAATTTTAGTTACACTGCATTTTCATTTTAGTAAAATATGACAATAGCTTCAAAAATAGTGTTTCAAAATAACCCACTACCCTAAAAAGTTTTACCTCAAAATAAAATAGTTTATCATTTTATAAAATATCAAAGGCACTTTTTCAATCGTTTCAACTACCGTTTTAATCATTTTAGAGTATTAAAACATTTTATAAAAGTGGGATTTCTTCACCATAATTAACTTTGCATTACTTGGCACAACCCGGACATTTTAGTTTTAAAGTTTAAAAACTTTTGTTGTTTGCCTTTAATTCAATTTTGAATTGGAATCGGTTTTTAGAACTAACCCAAGATTATCTACGGTGATAAAGGTGACGTGGCATCATTAGCAGGGAATTACTGTAGTCTAATTATCCGGGCGTCACAGTAGATCTGTTGCCAAGCGGACCACCGCCCCCCTCCTCTTTTTGTTCGGTGGGCGTGGTTTCCCATGATTCGCTCTCTACTCAGGCAGGGCAGGGGCCAGATGGTGCTGCGGACGGGTGTCCCGACCACATCCGGCCACCGTAGTAGGTGGGCCTCGGTCTTGGACTCGACATCGACCTCTGCAAGTGGCAGTCAATGGTTGTTAGGGTGGAGTTCACCGCTGTCTAGATCTACCCGTGCTCGATGGTGGGCACGTGGCTAGGTGTTGTCAAGGGGCGGGGAAGGAGTGTCCTTCTAGCCCTCCCCAACGGTAGTCGGTGGCTGCAGGCTTGGCGTGGGAACGGTCTTGGTGCCAATAATGCTAGGACATCGATCCTCGAATGGCGGGCTATACGGCGGGTGGGGCCGAGCGAAAGCTTTGCGCCTCGGCGGTGGCGGCGGGCAATGCATGTGGGTGTCATGCTTCTCTTGGGGCGACGCCGTGGTCCTCTCCCTACGTTCCGACACTGAGGGTGAAAAACTTTGTCTCCCTGAGTTGTAGCAACAACGGTTGCACTTCGTATCATGACCCTCTTGGCAGGGCAACCACGGCGATGGTGTGTCTTGTGCGCTTCTTCTCGGCGACTCGCTGGACGAGTTTAACTGCGTGCTCTTGTGCGCTTTTGGAGTTCTCGGTTAGTTTTGTCGTGTTTTTTTATTGATCAACTTCATGGGACTTTCTCAATGCCTTATCATTTGGTACTGTAGTTTTATTTACTCCCTTCTCTATCTATATAGAATTTTTAAGAACGACTTTGACTATTGATAAGATTAATAGTACATGACATGCATAATGTGAAAATTATATCATTGAAAGCTCCTTTCGCATATGAATTTGACAATATGCTTTGTGTAAATTGCATGTCATATATTATTGCTCTAACATTTGGTCAAATTTAACCCGGAAAACGCATTAGGCCCTATATACATGGAAGGAGGGAGTACATAAAGTGAAGCGAAAACCTGTTCCGAGCTGTCCAGATGGAGTTTGCCCATTACGAGCATGTCAAACAAGTACATGAGTCGTTTTTCGGAGGAATCCACGTCCATGTGCCATTTGTTAATTTCATTCATGCCTTGCTAATTAACGTCTGATTAGGTAGCTCAACCAAATCATGGCACACGAGAGAGGTCTACTCAGGATGATGCAATTGCAATGTGACAAGCTGTCTGTTGTCATGTCTCTTATATACTACTCCTACAGCTTGCCATCCACGTCAACAAAACCATTAGTTAGAGGCCATGCCAAGTCATCATTACAGATTCACGATATAAGACACAAAAAAATCGATGAAGAACTTTGTAGCGGTGGAGCGACCACGGAGACGACTGGCGCTCCTCAAGAACATAGACATTTCGTGCTGGTCAACTTCCAGTCTTGCAATTTTTAACCTGTTTGGATATACCTAAATATATTTTGCAGGGAAATGTACCTACGTACGCGACTGATTTAACAATGTAATGAATCTCCACTCTAACTATCAAACACCATTTATTAAGAGTTGAAGACTCTAACATGCATTGTTTAATTATAATCTGTACCACCTAACATGTCATTGGAATATTCTGATCATACAATTGGCACCAATAATTGTGCAATCGATCATCTAAATAATCATCCACGCAGTTCTTACTTGTTTACATCCATAGGCAGTGCTACTCATGGTTGAACACAGACTAAATCGATAAATAAATGTTGTTGCCAAGTAAGTGATCATCAATCAAAAGAATAGCACCAACTTAAACTAGCGGCTAAACTGAATCCGGCATTGCATTATAGTTCTAGCATATTGCCCTAAATTAGGCTGTGTTGCCTAGGTGGCTAGTTGTCTGATATTGAAAACTCGTCAACATCTATTTTGCATGTTTTTTATATGTTTGGCTTGTGGTAAAATTCAAAAGCTAGATTTGTCATCTTACTTGATTTGGATGATCTGAGGATGCATGAAATGGGACAGAGTCATATCTTTTCCTTTTGCGAGGAGGAACAGAGTGATATCGGTTTGGCAAATTGCAATACGTTAGGGTTGTACTTGTCATGTCTCTTATGAGCATGCACGAATGAGACATACACATCTTTTTTCTTTTGAGAGGAGGGACAGAGTCATATCCGTTTGGCAAATTGCAATATGTCAGGGTTGTCATTGTCATGTCTCTTCTGATCTTGCCACCCACACCAGCAAAAGGCCAAAGCTTCTGGCGTGTTTTTTCTTTGAGGGAAAGCCTGTTGGCATTTTTATTTATAACGTGGCAATGTTACATCAAGAAGTACAACAGGTAATAATAAATCAGGAGTAAAATCCACCCAAACATAGCTAGTCTTAGAATCATAGCAAGTCCTAGCCAGAAACTGTACCAGCCCGTTTGCTTGCCTGGGAGGCTGGGACATGTTTTAAAAGGTACCTCCTATTTAGGGCATAGGGCGCTGGGTGACGCACAGATGCGCAACCCCCCTACCAGACGCGCACTTCTCGCCGGCCCATGTGTGGGGAGGACGCGGTCCTGCTTTTCTCTTTCATTTTTTCATTTTTTTTATTTCTTACTTTTACTTTCTATTTTTTGGCTTATATACATAATGTTAAAGATTTTAAAAATATTCTGAAATTCAAAAATTGCTGAAGATTTTCGTTTTTCCATCCAAATTTCGTAAAATCTTCACAAAATGAAAACTGTTCCTGCTTTTAAAAGAATCGAATTTGAAAAAATGGCAAAGATAAAAACTGTTCTCATATTTTTAAAAATGTTTACGAATTTTAAAATATTCATCTATTTGAAAATGTGCCAAATTTTTAAAAATGTTGATGAATTCAAAAGAACATTCACAACTGCTAAAATATTCCTATTTCAAAAAAATCTTTGACTCAAAAAATTAATGCGAATACTAAATATGTTCAAGGATTAAAAAAACTGTTCCCCAATTAAAAAATGTTCGTCAATTCAGAAAATGTCACGAGTTCAAAAAAATGTTCACTGATTCATAAAAAAATCATGGAGTCGATAAAAGTTCACGCATTTCAAAATTGTTCCTAAATTTAAAGATGTTCATGGATTTCAAAAAATTCATGAGTTCAAAAAATATCCACAAATTTTAAAAAATGTTCATCTGTTTTAATAAGTTCATGAATTTCAAATAATGTTCATGAGTTTGAAACTTGTTATTTTTTTGAAAAATATTCGCTTATTTGAAAAAAATGATGAATTGGAAAAAATTTCTTGATTTTCAATAAAGTTTACGAATTTAAAAAGTGTTTGGGATTTTCAAAAAAACCATGAATATGAAAATAATTTGTAATTTTCAAAATAGTTCATTCTTTTCTAATAAGTTCGTAAATTTGGAAACTAAAAAATAATAACAAAAATTAAAGTGAAAAAAGAATAAAGAAGAAAAAGCGCAAGAAAGAAAAAGGACATAAACAAACTAACAGCCCACCCATTACTGGGGGTGACAGTGCGTGTTTTGTAGCCCACCCATGACCCGCGCAAGGAATGAGATCCCCGGTGTTGTAGGGCAGGGAACGAACGGGAATATTAGCATGTTTTCTTTATTTGATTTGACGAAATAAATATTTAGGGTGATCGAAAGGTAATAGGTCGCTTGAGAATTAGAGCCATAGGTAGTGAAAAAGTTAGAAACTAAGGGGATACATCATATTCCAAATACAAGGGTATTTCTTACTTCGTAGTGTTGTGAACGTATCATAGGGAGGTTGTGCTACTCCATCTGATTCGAATTAATTGATGCGGCCTCTATACAATATTGTATAGAGGTTGTGTAAGAGTTGTGTCAATTAATTTGGATCGAAGGCATGAGTGAACAATTGGTGGTTTCATGATTTCATCCATGCACGGGGTGGTCATGAAATTATTTGATTTGCAACTATTTCAAAACAGTGAAACAAAGCATCAGCATAATGATTCCCATGATAGCCAACTAAGTGGCTTTCCAGGACGACAAGGGAGGGGTCTCGGAGTCCTTCCAGGTGTTTAGATTCATCAAATACGCATTGTGGTACCGATCACCATGGACAGCGTCCATGGTGGCGTAGGATTCCAGCTCAGTCATCTCCTCAGCCGTGAGCTGCACAGACAATGCTCTCACGTTCTGGCTGAAATTCTCAACTTTGGTTGTGCCAGGTATGGGGCACACATCGCTTCCCTGGTGGTGAACCCAAGCCAGCGCGAGTTGCGACGACGTGCAACCCTTCCTTGCAGCCATCTCGCTCACACGCTCGAATATCGCCGCGTTCTTCTCCATGTTCTCGGGCTGAAATCTTGGGAGATTCTGGAAACGCAATGTGATACATTTGTTAGAAAAATGAAGGAGAAAAGTAAGCTAGCTAACCGCATGAAGTATCATGGGTAGTTCATTACCTTGCGGAAATCGTCCTCTGGTAATGTGTCCATCAGTTTAGGTCCCGTGGATAGAAAACCTCTACCTAGTGGACTGTACGCCACAATTCCGATGCCAAGTTCTCTGAAACAGAAAATAATTTTGAAGTTCTTTTTAGGACATTTCGTTAGTACTATGAAGCTGATTCTGAAAACAAACTGTGAAAAGAAAAAGGTAGTTCTGTGGTCGTTGCAAAAACCTGCAAGTTGGGATTATATCTTCTTCAACGTCTCTTGACCACAGAGACCACTCTAGCTGAACGGCGGTGATGGGATGAACTGCGTGTGCCCGTCTTATTGTCGATGATGAGGCCTCCGACAACCCGATATATTTCACCTTTCCTTCTTGGACTAGCTTCTTGATCTCACCCATCTACATGCATACAGAAGTCAAGAAGGTAGACTGGTCAATACCTACAAGGCCTCAATGTGTATAAATGAGTCAATGAGACGAAGTTGAACAAGTGCTAGTAATACGTAGGGAGTACGTCAATCACTACAACTTTACTTCTTTACGGAGGGAGTACGTAGTACTGACCGTGATCTCGACGGGGACATTCTTGTCGATGCGGTGCTGGTAGTAGAGGTCGATGCAGTCGACGCCGAGCCGAGCGAGGCTGCCCTCGCACGCCGCCCGCACGTACGCCGGATCGCCATGGACCTCCCGGGCCGGCGTGATGCCGAATTTCGTGGCCAACTGGACCTTCTCCCTCGCCCCTCCCTGCAGCGCCTGCTTTATCACAGAGAACTCATGCCGGTCAGACATCCGCGTGCGAATGATATGGCAACTACTAGCAGGGAGCCAAGGAGCACGTCGGGTGGCTATGCTATGGTAATTACCTTGCCGAGCAAGAGCTCGTTGGTGTGGGGGCCGTAGATGTCGGAGGTGTCGAGGAAGGTGACGCCGGCGGCGACGGCGTGGCGGAGGAGCGCGATCATGTCCTGCTCGGGCTTGCGCTCGCCGTAGACAGCGGACATGCCCATGCAGCCGAGGCCCTGCGCCGAGACCTCCAGCCCCTGAGAGCCCAGCTTCATGCGCGGCACGACCACCGGAGCAGCAGCCATGTCGTCCGTGCCTGCGCTGCGTGTGTGATGGACTGATGATTGGTGGATGAGTAAGTAGGTCAGGAGCTTTGAGCTGCGGTGCAATTTATAGTGCGGTCGAGGGCGTCATGGAGTAGGTCACCAGGCTGCGGGTTGAATAAGCTGCCAAAGTAGAGCAGAGGGTCGCGTACGTTAAATTGAAATGGACATGATCTTTGGGCATGATAAAAAATCTTCTAATATATTGTTAAATTGAAATGCACATCGATGACGCCCGCCGTACCGCCACAAAAATGGTGAGGTCCTCTTCTAGATTTTTCGTACTCCATGACAATGAGTGGCGGGGACGAGCAGGTGATCAAGCCGATCGCGCAAGAGATCGGGGACGCCGCTCGACGAAGGTGGGGTGGCGGCGGAGTCCGAGATGAGGCCGGCGATGACGGACGGTGTGGGACGATATGTGGACGAGCGCGTCAGCACCGGCACCCGGGCTGCCAAAACAGCGTCGGCGCCTGGGCAGCGAGGCCGGAGCGACCAATGTAGCAGCAGCGCCCGAGCTTAGGCAGCCGACGAGCCCGACGCAGCTGAGGACGAGGCCGGCGAGGCAGACCACATGGCCACCGTGCTGACGCGGCGAAGGCGGGTGGCGTGGATCGATGGGCGGGCCGATGCGCGAACAGTGGCTATGATGGGCTGCCGCATGGCATGAGGCCGTCGGGTCAGGGCGATGCAGGAGTCCCGGCCGGAGCAGGGCGCAGACGGCCGGCGTAGATCGACGGGTGTTCCGGCGCACGGGTGACGGCCATGAGGGCTTGTCGTGCGAGGCCGCCGGGTCGGTGATGGAGCCGGCCGGTCGCGCCGGTGTTGTAGTAGAGGCACACGGGGGTCAACGACGGCGGTGGGCGACGCAAACCGATCTAAGATCGGAAACCAAAAAAGAAATGCCGATCAAGATGACCGGCGGGAGAGAGACAAAAAAAATCTGGAGCACGAGCTCGGGAAAAAAGACTCTCTAAGGCAACCGATCAACACGACCGGCGGGCGAACTCTAGGAGGAGCGGCATGCCCCCAGCGGCGGTCATGGAGGCCGACCGCCCCGGGGGCGGCGCGCAGGGCGGAAGCAGTGGGCAGCGGCGAGGGTTTGGCTCGGTTAGGATGATACCATGTTAGAAGGGAACAAAGAGGGATTGGCGGAATATGATGAACACTACTAGGAAAAGGATTATAGATAGTATTGATACTAATGGCGCACCAGGGAAGTAGTGCGCCACTACTATATACTAATGGCGCACCTGTTGGTGATGCGCCATTAGTGTGGAAGACACTAATGGCGCACCAGAAACAGGGTGCGCCACTAGTATTAATTTTTTTTCCATTTTTTCATACATGCTAATGGCGCATCAGGTCGACAATGCGCCATTACTAGTTCTAACTAGTAATGGCGCACCAGGCAGAGAGTGCGCCATTACTGTAATTTTTTTCTTATTCTTTTTTTTGCAAAACTATTAATGGCGCACCGTTTCACAGTGCGCCATTACTAGTTTAAACTAGTAATGACGCACTATTACACGGTGCGCCATTAGTATATATATTTATATTTTTTACTTTTTTGCAAAACTTCTAATGGCGCACCACCTGCAGGTGCGCCATTAGTAACCTGTGACCCCAACAAGATATTTTGGACAGCCCCACACCTACCCACTCACTTTCCCCACTTCATTCCCTCCACCTCCTTCTCCAAGCTTTCGGCTGCCTTCTCCTCCTCACCTCATTTTCACCATAGATTCATCAAAATTAAGTGGTGAAATTACCTTTTTTTGATAGGTAAGTAAGGGGAAAGCTATCTTCATGATGTAGATCTACTTTTTTTCTCCCTAACTCGCTCCAACAACGTGCACATGCACTTTTTGTGGCCTAGCTAGATTTATGTATGTTTGTGGTGTTGCATGTGTTTGTGGTGTTGCATATATGTTTGTGTTTGAAGGTACCGGTATTTGAAATGCGATAGTTGCCAATATTTTGTTGGAATGTTTTGATTCATTTCTGTTTCGGCGAGAATTTTGGCACTATGCATTCTTTTTGGTCCTATTTTTAGGGAAGGTCATGCCAAATTTTTTCTTGGTTCTAAAATATCGTTTTGATCTACCCCGCAGGCGACCATGGTCCGCACGATGACTGAAGGCATCGTGAATAGGTTTTTGAGCTCCGTGAAGGCCGAGATGCTTCAAAAGAACGAGACGGAGATAAGATGTCCGTGTCGAAGATGCAAGCTGAAGAGCCTTATTCGGACCCGGATTCCGGGCAGGTGCGGGACCACCTGCTCTTGCGTGGTTTCAGGGATGGCTATCGGTGGCAAGGTGATGAAGATGACTATAGAGTCGTCCATGGCCGGGGCCGGGCAAGAAATGAGGAAGGGCAACAAGACAAGTACCACCGTGGTGAGGGCGGGCGAGAAGACGAAGAATCTCCAGGACATGATCACGACGGTGATGCTGTACACAGTCATCATGTAGAAGATGTCGTACATGATGATGAGGAAGATCAAGACGAAGGGCATGATCATGAAGATGAAGATGCCGAAGCAGACGACGATGGAGGTTGGGTGCAGGACCCTCATATTCAAGAGCTGCTTCTCAAGCAGACGGATAACGCAAGAGCTGCCGCCCGAGAGAAAGCCAAGCTGGATCAACTGGAGATAGACGCGGTTACTCCATTGTATGAAGGATGCAGGCCCGAGGATACCCGCCTGAAAGTAACGCTCATGGCTCTGGAGATGAAGGTAAAACACAAAATGACCGACGCATGCTTCGACGAGAACATGTCATTCTGGCACGAACGTCTTCCCAAGGGGAACAAGTGCCCGACCAGTTTCGAGGAGGCGAAGAAAATCGTGTGTCCTCTGGATTTACCGCACGTGAAATACCATGTGTGCATGAACAATTGTATCATTTATTGGGACGAGCACGCGGAGTCTACCATATGTCCGGTGTGCGGCGTCACTCGATACAAGAAGAGGAAGAAAGCTCCTCGAAAATCGGTGTGGTACTTTCCGATCACTCCTCGTCTGCAGCGGTATTTCGCGGACCCTAAGGTAGCAAAGCTCCTGCGTTGGCACGCGGATAGGGAGGAGAAGAAGCGGGAAGATGACGGAAATGATCCGGAGATAAATAAAAAAGACAAGATGCTGAGTCACCCTAAGGATGCGAGCCAGTGGCAAGCGTTGAACTTCGAATACCCAGAATTTGGGAAGGATCCAAGGAACATCATGCTGGGCACGAGCACCGATGGAGTCAATCCGTTTGGCAGCCAGAGAAGCACACATAGCACCTGGCCTGTGTTTGTGTCGATGTACAACCTTCCCCCCTGGTTGTGCATGAAGAGGAAGTACATTCACAAGAGTATGCTAATTGAAGGGCCGAAACAACCAGGGAACGACATCAATCTGTATCTGGGGCTGCTGAAGGAGGAGCTAGACACGCTGTGGAAAACGCCAGCCAATACGTGGGACGCCGCAGAGAAAGAATATTTCCCTATGAGAGCCGCACTGCTCACGACGGTGCACGACTATCTCGGTTACGGATATCTCGCGGGGCAGGTAGTCCACGGATTTTCTGGATGCGTAAGGTGCATGGATGACACAACGTATCGCCAGCTAGATAGAGATCCCGGGTCTTCAAAAACCGTGTTCATGGGACATCGAAGGTGGCTTCGCGATGATGACCCGTGGAGGAAACGCAAGGATCTATTCGATGGTGAAACCGAACCCCGAAAACGCCCGTGTACGAGGAGCGGCGAGGAAATAGACGAGCTGTTGAAAAATTGGAAAGACTGCCCACTGCCGGGAAAGAAGCAAAAGGCGCCAGAGCCGGGAAAAAAGCGAAAGGCGCCAGAGCCGCTGCTGAAGGTATGGAAAACGAGGTCTGTTTTCTGGGACTTGCCGTACTGGAAGATCCACCGTGTGCCTCACAGCCTTGATGTCATGCATATCACGAAGAACATGTGCGAGAGTCTACTTGGTACCCTGCTCAACATGCCAGAGAGGACCAAAGATGGGCCAAAAGCAAGGGCAGACTTGAAATCAATGGGCATCAGGCAGGAGCTTCACGCTAATGATGATGATGAGGCGAAGCAGGACACAGAAAGTCGTCGCAAAGGCAAAAAGGCCAAGAAGACCGAAAATGACTACCCTCCCGCGTGCTTCACTCTAAGTCAGGAGGAGATCGAGCAGTTTTTCACCTGCCTCCTAGGAGTAAAACTTCCTTACGGTTACGCGGGGAAGATAAGCAGATACCTAGACCCAGCGAAGCAGAAGTTCAGCGGGATGAAGTCTCACGACTGTCACGTGCTGATGACGCAGATACTTCCAGTTGCAATCCGTGGGATCATGGACGCGCACGTCCGTGAAACGCTATTTGGCGTATGCAACTTTTTCGACGTCATCTCTCGGAAGTCGATTGGCGTGAGGCAACTCAGAAGGCTACAGGAAGAGATCGTGGTGATACTATGCGAGCTTGAGATGTACTTCCCGCCCGCATTCTTCGACGTTATGGTGCATCTGCTGGTCCATATCGTGGAGGATATCATCCAACTCGGGCCGACATTCCTGCACAACATGATGCCGTTCGAAAGGATGAATGGTGTCTTCAAAGGATACGTTCGCAACATGTCACGTCCAAAGGGAGGTATAGCCAGGGGCTTTCTGACCGAAGAGATCTCCTACTGCACGAATTATCTAGGCGTCGAGAACCCCGTTGGTCTGCCCGTCAACAGGCACCTCGGCAGGCTCGCTGGATGGGGTCACCGTGAGGGTCGCTGCGAAATGCATGTCGACTTCGAGGGTCGACTCGCGGACTTTGAAAGAGCAAACCTAGTCGCGCTACAACACATAGACGTGGTCGATCCTTGGGTGGTAGAGCACAAAACCTTTATTGAGAAGACGTACAATGACCAAGGCCAACAGAGGACGGACGGAGATATACTCAAAGAGCACAACTCATGTTTCACGCGTTGGTTCAAGCAGA